AATAAAGCTCTCCTTTTCTTTTACTTTGAATCCCTATTATTGATGTATATAAATATTTTTTTCTCTCAAAATCACCATGAAGGAATATTTTTTTGTCATCTAGCTATTAAAGATGCAAGTGTTTTTCCAACCATTATCCTTAGAACTAGTTCGAGTCATGTAAACTTCACAACCATAGAAAATATATTAGAGTAATTAATACCTTTTTTAATACATTTTTCACAATAAATTTAGCCTTGAATCATTTATTGTTGTCATGTTTGGCCTTCACGTTGTAAACTCACTTATTATGCAAAGTATTTTTTCTTGCAGGTAGTTCAATGAGCTCATTTGTTTGATTCCTTAACAATGAATCTATCTCATATTTCATAGCTAACTCTCACTTACTTGAATTTCACCTTACAAGATTTCTTCATAGATTTATAGTCTAGAAATATCAATGGACAAAATATAATTTAGAAAAAGTATGAGTTGTTATAGAGGTTTTACTATTGTAGAAGACCTATGAACATAAACAACAGGTCCATATAGTCTTCTATCTACTATTCAAAACATAAGTTAAAATGTGTTTGATTCTTCATATAGATCATTCTAGCTTTTACTTTCTACTATTATATCATGAAAAGCATCCTAATTTATAACTTAGACTTTTATAGACTTTTATTAGTGGTATATGTTTCTACACTAATTTTATCTTTATATAAAGCTTTATTATTAAACATCACATTTTTATTTTTTATTATTTTTGTATTCTAATCATTTCAAAACCAGAATTGAAATGACTTATCACAATAAGCAATGAAGAAATATTTCTTAGATTTGACATCAAGTTTATTATGAGAATCAAAATTGATATAAGTATAGGAAAAACACTTAAAGAACTTCAGATGAGAAAGTTGTATATATTTTCCTCTTTGTACATTATCAAGTAATTTATATTCTAATAGAACTGATAGTCCACGGTTAATTAAATACACTATAATATCAACTATATTAGCCTAGAATATTGAAGTTAACCCAGAATACAACCTCATATTTTTGACATGTTCATGCACTAGACAACACCATTTTATTATAATGTGTCTTTAATGGTCATCTTTATTCTAATACAATTAGTAGCTTAGTATTATTTAAGGCTTCTATTATTAGACCAAAATTTTTTAACTTAAAGTTTGTTATTATTTTAACCATGGCCTTTTATATTTTTAATGTATCCGATACATCATATCTATTTCTCAAAAAATAAAGTCATATCTTTCTTTTGAAGTTATTGATAAAGGTAATATAATATTAAAAGTCTTTAAGAGATACCACTGGATATTGCCCCTATAAACTTTTATGTATTAGTTTCATCTTTTTTAATCTCAAGTCTTTATCACCCTTCATGTCATTGAATTTCTTCTACTTTTTTACAAAGCTTTCACACATGTATATAAAACTAATTTTAGTTTTGGTAGATTTTCTTTTGATAGAATAACTCTTCTAACTTATATAGTTGAGTCTATAATAATATAATTTTGCTTGATTTTGAATTTTAATATTAATAATGATAATTTTTATTCTCAAATAATATATAAAATACTAGTTTTGTTACCTTATACCCATCGTTGTTTCTTAACAAATAACTTAAATTAGTGAGCTAACTACCTGTCTCCCTTTAAAAAGTATTACTTTATGGATTTAATATATTCTTTAATAATTGCCACAAGTTAATGTTTTCAATCAAATGGAGTGATAATAAAGTGAAATAATTTTGAAACTTCTAATTTTTTTTTTGCTGAAACCTTTATAATTTTGATTATTTACTTTGTCATACAAAACTCATAACAAAAAAAAAAGAATAACACCTTTTATGCATATTTTTTTCCCCTTTATAGTTCACACATGACATTAGCAAGCAATTTAAAATGCTATTAATGATTATCACTTGACTTTAGTCGCTATGCAGCTGTGGATAAAAACAAAAAAATAAACTTTTACAGCTTGGAAAGCCACCCATGCAAGTAGTGGCTCAAGTTAGAATTCTATTTTCTTATCTATATTAAACTATAATTACAGTGATTTTAGTTTCTGTGTCCTTTATTATTAAAGCAATACTAGCATCAATATGGTGGACAGCACATCTCTTAATCGTTAATAAAAATTACTCCCTGCGAACGAGCGGGATTAAAAGCTAAGTAATAACCTCAAAAATTTAATTATGTATTTACATATAACATCGCACCTACTTATCTTCACCGTAACCTAATTAAAAAAAAAAAAAAACCTACATGCTCTTGGTCACATGTATCCACCGCCCAAGAAGGAGGATTTGTAGTGTTTGTTTGAGAGTATATAATTGGTTTAAAATATTTTTTATTTAAAAATATATTAAAATAATATATTTTTATTTTAAAAATTATTTTTGAATTCATATATCAAAATAATTCAAAAATATAAAAAATAATTTTAAATAAAAAAATCTTTAAAATTTTGCTAACACCATTTAATATGAAACAGAATTTCCTCTTTGTTGTCGCATTTTATATTAGGTTGAAAAAATTTGAATTTTTTAAATTAATTTATGTATATATTTTTATATTATTTTGATACAATTTATATAAAGAATAATTTTTTAAAAAATAAAAAATATTATTTTAATATATTACTAAATATGTTTTTTTTAAATACCATATAGTACAGCCTCAATTCACCGCCGCCCACTATCATTTTGTGAATGCTATTACTGGTTTCAACGGAAAAAAAAACAATCTAAATCTAATAGGTTATTTTAGGCCTTTTTGTTAATTTGGTCAGCCCAACTATACCTAATTGATTCTGTCGTGTCCGATTATTTTATGGTAGGGATATTATTTTACAAATAATATCGCACCTACCTGTCTTCACCGAAACCTAATTAAAAAATAAAAAATAAAAACACTTGCGGACTCACTCTTGATATTGATGCCAGCATCGAGCAATGTGGTGGGGAGGGTAGGCCATTCCAGGCTCTTGGTCACAGGTTTCCACCACCGTAGAAGGGCCAGTAGCATCTGCTTACTTAATTGCCCGCATGTTTTATTTTAAATAGGGTTGAGTAAAAAAATTTAATTTGTATTCTTACTATATATTATAGCCAAACTTATATATTTTTAAACAATAATTACATGTAATTGATTTTACTTTAATTTATATTGAGTATTGAAATTAATAATAATATAATAATCATAGTTATAAAATCTAATCCACGGCTCCAACCAATTCAAATTAAAAAAAAACATAAAAATAATTGATTCAGTGTGATCTACTCAAAAACCCAAGTCGACCCAGCAGTTAATCTAGGTTAAATCTCAAATAAAAAACTTGTTAACTTGTTTAATTTTATTTTTAAAATGATATCATTTTTATCATTTAAAAAAATGGATCAACTCAAATTAATTCTTTCAATCCCATGAGCTAGGTCATATCCTAGATCGAGTTTAAAAATTATGATAATAATAATTTTTTATATTTACATACTTTAGCTAGATAATTTTTTAAATTAAGAGATTTTACTATGATATTTTATGGATAAAAAATAAATCTTTAGAGACATGTGTCTTTTGTATCTCTTGTTTTAAAAATATAAAAATTTACTTTAAAATTATTTTATGGACATATTTATTTTTATATTTATTATTTCTATTTTTAAACACATTTATATTTACATTGTCTTTATGTCTAAATATTTTTTTATGTAGCATTTGGTATGTTGGACAAAGATAGATGAGACACGATAATATAAAAATCTATTTGTGTCCTATTTAAACATATTTTAATAAAAAAATTTGTTAAATAAAAAAAGTAGGACAAACTTCTCTTCACAGGGATTAACCTAGTTAATTTATATGAATATAAAAATAAAAATATTAATTATTATAATTTTTAAAATCTAAATTGAAAGTTAATCTAGGTAAGACCTACATCAAAAGTTAACTTAATTATTAATTCAAATAAATTTAAAAATACAAGTAATTATTATGATAGTTTTAAAATTTAATTTAAAAATTAACTTAAAATAAAAATTAAATTATAGATTAATTAATTTTTATTTATTTATTAAGCTCAGAGTGTTCGAGTTTATTGTGTCACTATCTGAAAAGTATATAATAAAAAAATAATAGTCCAGTGAATCCAGGTCAATGCATATGAAATACAATAAAAAACAATTATCTAGCAAGTTGAGCTGGCATGACCAATCTAGTCCAATCAATATTGTCGACTCCTAAATATTATCCGGACACTCATGTTAATTTAAAAAATATTATCCACTCCTAAATACCTTTTTTACATGCCAAATATATTGAATCATTTATTACATTGATACTGTTTTTTTCTTGTTATAAATATTAGTCGTGGTGCGCGCAAACTAGCCCAGACACCCACGTTAATCTAAAAAATATTATCCACTCCTAAATACCTTTTTTACATGCCAAATATATTGAATCATTTATTACATTGATACTGTTTTTTTCTTGTTATAAATAGTAAAAACCTGTACTCAAAACAATTTTTTTTTTTTTTTTTTTTATAAAAACAACACAGGTTGCAGGGGCTCCAGCTTATTAGTCATGGATTCTTTATAGTTGCGGTATATAGATTAATAATATGCTATGATATATAGGGTAATTATCTAATTGGACTCTTCCATGTTTCAAATCACAACATGATAGAAGATCTCAATTTTTTATAAAAAGAAAAGAAAAGAAAAGAAAGAAGCATAAATGGACAATTTTTCAAGAAGAGTTGTTTAATAATAAAATAATACATTATTAATAATATCTGTTAATGAAAACGACCACCATATCCGAGTACGTTTGTGTTTAGAAATCTAATTTTTCAGTATAAAGTTTACGCATGGTTTGAGCTGTATCTAATTTCATTGTCAAGGATACTGTACATGGAAGTGACACATGGCTTAACCATCTATGGGATTGGTGCTCCATATTTGTTGCTTCTAACATCATGGATTGGCTCCAAATCTCTCGAACCCCACCAATTTTTAACCAAAAAAAAAAACAAAAACACTTCCCTTCTCAAAGGCAATCTACTGGCATAAGGAAGAGTAATAGCATGACATCCATTTTCCTTGCAGAGATTAGTGTCCGTACACATTTTAATCTTTGTTTTGAGCATTCCCGGTAAATACAGAACAAGAAAGACTTAGGAAAAATGGCATCTTCAACTTTGTTTAGCAACACTCCAACGGCTGTTTTCTCAAGAACCCACTTTCCAGTTCCAATCTTTAGCAACTCATCCGTAGAATTCTCGTCTTCCACGCACTATAACTACAACTTCAAAACCAAGACAAGTAGTGCTAAGAAATTGAAACATGTGAATGCTGTAGTGACCGAGGCACCTGCTGTGAGTGAATCAAGAGGGAAACAGTCAGAACAAAGGAAGTTGAAGGTTCTTGTTGCTGGAGGTGGAATTGGAGGGCTGGTTTTTGCGTTGGCAGCAAAAAGGAAAGGGTTTGAGGTGATGGTTTTTGAGAAGGATTTGAGTGCGGTAAGAGGAGAAGGACAATATAGAGGTCCAATTCAGATACAGAGCAATGCATTAGCTGCTTTGGAAGCTATTGATTTAGATGTTGCTGAAGAGGTTATGAGAGCTGGGTGTATCACTGGTGATAGGATTAATGGACTTGTTGATGGGATCTCTGGTACTTGGTATGTTGTTTCCAACCTTTAATCCTAGATGCATGTCCTTGCTTGTTTTCCCTTCGTTTGGTATTTGTTTTCATTTTTAGTTTATAGCTTTGTGGTTGGCCCTCTCAATCTTACGTTTATGGTCCTTTTGGTTATGTTTAAAGAAATTGAACCTTGGTAGTTGTGGTTTGCTGCATCCATGGTGATGGAATTTGATGAAATTACTTTGTTTGTTTTTCTTGCTGCTGGCATTGTTTTTATAGTTGCAGTTGAAGTTTATGGGCTTGGCGATTGACAAGTTAAGTTTTGAACACTTCAAAAATGTGAAACTGATATATGAGGATGAATTTTGCATCTTTTGACTCACAATTTCACTTGTATGCGGATTTTAGATAAGCGTGCAGGTTGAAAGCTATGATTATTAACGCTCACATAATCCAAAAACAGTGATAGTGAATGAATTTCATTTACTGAGACACAAAGTATTGAGATACATTTGGCTATATCCCAAGCTTGTTCTGTTTATATTTGTTTTGGTGTTATGAATTTCCTTTTAATCAACTAGAATTAGATAGTTAGCTTAAAAAAAACAATCCAATCTTTATTTTATTTTCAGCTTAATGCTTCTGGAACGGAAACTTCTTTTTCTTTCTTTGGTACGCTAGGGAAGTTTGCCTATAATACTTCTGTGGTCATCATATTTTGGCGTCAACTGACGATGTGAATTTCTAAGCAAAGTCTTGTACTCTTAAAAAAATGATTATTGGTAGACACGGACCTCTTGCAGTTTATAGAATTGAAGAAAAGTCGTGTTATTAACAAAAATTACCGTTTCAGAAATTTATTGTTTTTGGATGCGCTGTCTGATGTAAGTGTTAGCTTCAATTGACATTGAATGAAGAATGGTATCAGGTATGTCAAGTTTGATACCTTCACTCCTGCAGCAGAACGAGGGCTTCCAGTCACAAGAGTTATTAGCCGAATGACTTTGCAACAAATCCTAGCTCGTGCAGTTGGAGATGATGTGATTCTTAATGATAGTAATGTCGTTAGTTTTCAGGATGATGGGAATAAGGTAGTATGAACTGCTGATTTGTTGAAGATTGTCCTTTTGGCAAAATCTTCCCTCAATGAGAGTTCTTTCTGGTTTTCGTTTCTTGCTCAACCAAATATTCATTTGACTTGCTGGTTTGTTACTTAAAAGCATCATGTATGCTTCTTGAATTTTCACATTCATTTAATTGTTCTTTTAAAATTTACAAGTTTAGATCACTGTGGTGCTCGAGAATGGACAAGAATTTGAAGGTGATCTCCTAGTGGGTGCTGATGGAATATGGTCAAAGGTATTACTATGTCAAGTACTTTCATCATCCCTTTGAAACCAGATTTTATAAAAGATAGCAATTCTCTTTTGAATGATCTCAACCAATGCTACCAGCCAACTGCCACAATTGAAGTAGAGTGTATGAAAGTTCTGTTACACGTGCAGTCTCTAGTGTTCTGGAGCTATGCACTTCAGTGTGATTTTGAATTTCTTATGTTTGTCTTGTGCACAGGTGAGGAAGAACTTATTTGGACCCAAGGAAGCAGTGTACTCAGGCTATACATGTTATACTGGTATAGCAGATTTTGTGCCTGTCGATATCGAGACTGTTGGGTATGTTTCATTTCATTGCATACCAACTTTCCACCAGACGCCGCCTTTTTTTTTCTGTCACATTTTACCTAGTTAGGATTTAGTGGAGTGTACATTTTGTATTAGTTGAATTGTGTATGGTCTAGATGCTTACTTTGAGTTTTTCCCTGAAGGTATCGTGTATTTTTGGGTCACAAACAATACTTCGTGTCTTCAGATGTGGGTGCTGGAAAGATGCAGTGGTATGCATTTCACAAGGAACAACCTGGTGGCGTGGATGGCCCCCGTGGTAGATACTTTTCTGAAGCTCCAGATCCATTATAAGCATGCTCTGAACAGGAAATTTTATTGACAAAGTTATACAGTTGAAACATCAGCTTATAGTGTTCAGAAGAAATAAAATTAATTTCATGCACCATATTTGTGTTTGGCATACACAATTGATCATTCAAATTCATATAACTCCTTTTAAAAAAACACAAATGGTTGCATCTGACAGAAGTCTATGCATTCAACTAAGTCATAAACTTAAAGCAATAAGGCTAAAATATGCTTGTGATACTATAGCAACTTGTGTTGTTAGCAAAAATGATTGCGGAATGTAGTCTGTTATGAAGATGCTAACTGCATGGTAAATTTACAACAGAAGGCCTTCCTTTTAGAAAAGAGGGTTTTGGGAAATAAATAACATTTTTGTTCTATGTTGCTCAAGTTGTACTTCAAGTATTTGTCCTTTTACTGGTCACTGTGGTGGAGGGAAGTGACACCTCTGCGTTTGAACTAACAAAGCACACTTTAAATTAAGCCAATTTTGATGAATTCATCTCGTGAGTGATAAGGATTAAGTTATATCTCAACTATTTGTCCTTTTACTGGTCACTGTGGTGAAAGTTTTTTATCATTTTCTAATGCCAATTTCTAACACTGATTGATATTTCGGCAGGTAAAAAGGATCGGCTGTTGAAAATATTTGAGGGTTGGTGTGATAATGTGATAGATTTGATACTGGCCACAGATGAAGATGCCATTCTTCGACGTGATATATATGACAGGGAACCCATTCTTACCTGGGGAAGGGGTCGTGTGACCTTGCTTGGGGATTCTGTCCATGCCATGCCACCGAATATGGGTCAAGGGGGATGCATGGCCATTGAGGTATACCTTAATTTCTCTTTGTTTGATCCTAATTGTGAATCTGGACCGATGCTTTCACTTGTAGTTTTTACCTTCAAATATGTAAGCGTCGCCATGGCATGTATCACATGTTAACATTGGCCTCCTGTGTAATTCTCTAATGCTTCCGGAATTTTGGTATGTGTCTTCTTTGCTGAAAAACATTTATCGCTCTACATCCCCTAGACATCACAATTTTCTTTTCTCACATAAATAAATGAGTCAAATGAACAATCTCAAAAATACACCTAAATGAACTCCATAATTCAATATGGCAGGATAGCTACCAACTTGCATTGGAGCTTGATAAAGCATGGAAACAAAGTGTTGAATCAGGAACCTCTGTTGACGTTATTTCATCACTAAGGAGGTAACATGTTAGTTATTTTTAAAATAATTTGGAAATGCTTAAATTTCGAGGCTGTTATAATATCCTGATACGAGAATCGGAGATGAAGTGGAAATCATTCCTGTGGACATTTGGAAGGCATCTCAGAATTTTGAGCGTAAGGCTTTGTTCAAAATAGTCTGGAGTTTTGTTCCCCTCAAGTAGTGACCTCGGAAAAATCCACTTAAAAAATAAGTATGTTGAGCGTAATGTGTACCTGTGCATGCAACAGATCTGTATTATTTGGTAGTCATCGCATATAAAAACAGACTTTATCTAGGGAACAATTTGCTGATCCTTGAAATGCATTCATCTCAAGGAAATCATCCAATTATATTTGAATCTTAATCTTCAGGCAATTCCTATTCTAGTTTTCTGGAAATTATCTTCGGTGTAAAAGTATGCAAAGCTTTGTGTGAACAGACTATGATGTATCATTGGTAAACAATGTTAACTGACGAAAACTATGCATTTATAAACTATTTTCCCTGCCATTTTTTGCGTCTCTCTTTCTTAGATTATGGTGTTGCCACTCACCGTGGAAGATCCTCTAATTTGAATAGTTTGCAGAATGTTGCATGCTATTTAGTACATTAGAATTTAGGACACTGGTTAGCATGGATTGATCTATATTCAGATTCTGACAGACACGGTGTTTTGTGTGTATATATGATGGGTTTTTTTAACCAATGGCTTTATTTGGTTGACTCACACTTTCTTCTTTCCACAGCTATGAGAATGCTAGAAGACTCCGAGTTGCCAATATCCATGGAATGGCAAGAATGGCGGCAATTATGGCTTCAACATACAAGGCGTATCTGGGTGTAGGGCTTGGTCCGCTGTCGGTAGGTGTCTTTGTTGATTACATATTAGAAAAACTAACACAGCAGTCTGAATTTTTTGTCCATAACCGTGATGCCTTTTGACCTGGTTTTCAGTTCTTGACGAAGTTTCGGATACCTCACCCAGGAAGAGTTGGTGGCAGATTTTTCGTTGACATAGCAATGCCTGTGATGCTCAATTGGGTCTTGGGCGGAAACAGGTTCGAAGATGAAAACTCAGTCTTTTCTACATAGTCAATTTTGTTCTCAGATATTTATTATATACAATTGTTACAGAAAAATTAATCTGTTGGAAACCCAATTAGATGATAAATTATTGGTTCACGTGATTTTTTTGTGATTGTAGAAGCTTATAGCATATTAGAGGTCATATGCTATCTCTCATCTGTAATTCGGTTTTCACAATGAAGAGATTTAGCATGCTATTTTACTCTGTTTTGGACTGAAAATTTAAAGCATTTATGTGGTGAGCGTTTTAGAGCTATGGGCTAATGGGTAGTTCATGATCCTAAAAGATATCTTTAAGCATTGGGAGTGAGAAAGAAGTATCACACAGATGAGGGATTCTAGAAAAACTAAGTGTTAAAATAAATCCATATGGTGGTTAGAATTGAGAAAAAATGAAGAATTCTTTCCTTTTGTAAGAATAATCTTCTCATTTATTGTATCTTTTCCTATGTTACTCTCTTTTAACTCAACTGGAAATCTGATTTTCTTTCGCAGTTCCAAACTTGAAGGCAGGTCTCTAAATTGCCGACTCTCAGACAAAGTATGTTGCCTTATCAGCATGAAATCTATCTTCAATTGTTGCTCATTGTATCTTATTCTTGAAATTAGAAGATTCTGATATGTGATGGAATCTAATGTATGATTGTTCATTTCGTTAGGCCAGTGACCAGTTGCAAAGATGGTTTGAAGATGATGATGCTCTAGAGCGTGCTCTTAATGGAGAGTACGTATTATGCGCCTTGTCAATCTTCTTCTTGGAACATAACGCTTGAATCTTCTTCTTGGCTGATAATCTAATGACGCGGCCACTTTTTCATTATCAATCTTCCTTGTTCTGTAGGTGGTTTCTTTTACCATGTGGAAATGAGGCTGTTGCTTCACAGCCTATTGGTTTAAGTAGGGATGAGACCAAACCCTGTGTGGTTGGGTATGCATTTCAATTTAATTTAATCACAAAAGACCAATTTCAACTCTGTATATGACTGCATCAGCAGTCCGCGATCATCAGCACATGACACTTCTTTTGATGCTGTGTTGTGGTTGCAGGAGCGTGTCACATGATGATTTTCCAGGAATGTCCATAGTGATACCCGCACCCGAGGTAATACAGGCCTGATATGCCTACAGGGTTCTTCTGTTACCTTGGAAAACTTATTTCGATATGAATAGCAAAACTGTAGCCGTAAGGTTCTTTTCCATTGAAGTTGAAAAAAAACAATTCCTTTCTGTAATTTTTAATGTCAGGTTTCAGAAATGCACGCTCGTATCTCTTGTAAAAATGGTGCATTTTACCTAATTGATTTGCGGAGTGAGCATGGCACCTTTATCACAGAGTAAGTTGAGAAAATCAAGATACATCTTCCTGTATTTCATATATTAACATGGAGTTGTGCTGTAAGATTGAGATCTTGTACATGTGCAGTCATGAGGGGAGACGGTATAGGGCAACTCCGAACTTTCCTGCCCGGTTCCATCCATCAGATATGATTGAGTTTGGCTCGGACAAGAAGGTGACAAATAATCCCTGCCCGGTTCATAGTTTTTCTTCTGAAATCAGATTAAACATATTCCAAATGCAATCTAGGAACCAGAACCAATACATGCGTCCTAGCACGTCTCGTGCAATAGAATGTGTTTCCAAATAAATTCCATGTGACAAAACATAGTGAGCTTCCATGTGCAGGCAACATTTCGTGTTAAGGTGATGTGGTCTCCTCTGAAGATTTCAGAAAAGAAGGAAGAAAGCCAAGTTCTTCGGTCGGTATAAGATTCTGAACATGGTCGATTTTTATTTGCACAGGAGTTTGTATAGCCATTATTTGGAGCAGCGAGCAGTGAACAATGCTTCTTTTATTTACAGTATGGAGCTTTATACAGGATTTGGGAAATCCATGCATGTTATATTATTTTTTAGTTAAGTACTAAAAAATGATTTATATTATTTTTTTATATTAAGTTTTTTAAGCTTAAAATTTATATAGGTTCGCTTTATATTATTAATTAGATTTTAATTAGAAAAAAGAATGAGGGTGACAAGATTCGAATTTGTAATTCACTTTGCTGTTAAAATTTTGATATTATGTTAATAAATCATCTCAGTTTAAAAAATTAAGTTTTTAAATAAAAATTTAAAATATAATTTATATCATTTTGTAACACTATTTCTATACTAAAAAGCAAAAATAAAGAGAAAAAAAAGGACTCAAAGTGTAATGTTAGTTGTTTAAGGAGTGAATATCATAGTATATAGTATATTAAGGTATTAATTGCTTTTACTATATTTGTTGTGGGGTTTAAACAATATATCTTTATAATACAAAAAAATCTTACACTTATAGATAACAAGTTTTATAAGTTTATTAAGAAATTTTATTTTGTTTTTATAAATATAAACAGAGAGTTTATAGAGAAAAATTAAGGGAAAAAATTGTTTTTAATTATTTTTTATCAACATCAAATTGTGATATATATATATATATATATATATATATATATATATAAACACGTTTTTAAACTAATATAATTGTATAGTTTAGAGGCACATCTCTTGGCATCAATTTACCTACAAAGTTTATAAAATAACTTTTTTTTTTAAATTATTTGAACTTCACAGGAGGTTTTATATAAATTTGTTAGATTAATTAATTCTGAAAATTTAATTAATTTTAAATTAATTAATTTAAACAACAATAACAACAATAATTTATGTTATATAATATCAAATGCCCAAGTGCAGATATATATAATTTCAGTTTTCTCTTCAATATCTAAATCTATAAATCTATTAATTTGATATTCTATGTTATAAAATATAACAAAATCTTTTATCTTTTCAACATAAAATGAAATCTTCTTTAACTATCTTATATATAAGCTATATTTTAACAATAAAAAATACTTGTAATGCCAATCCTCCACGAGTTTAAAGAATAACAATACAAGATAGTTGGCAATTATTTTTTTTTTCCTTTTTCAGCAACCATAATCACCATTAAATATTGTATTTACTAAAATAACACGAGATTCTTTAGCTGCTTTGTGGCCAGGACTCGTAGACATGCACCAAGTTGATTTACCTCTTTTAGTATTAATAAAACATCTAAAAATCACCATAATAATCTTTCTAAATCAATTGTTAATCTCTGAAAACATCAAAAATTCAAAATTAATTTGAAAACTAATTTCTTTCTAATCTCATATCTGGTTTTTCTAAACACTTTCAAGGTAAAAAAACACTCAAATTAAACTTCTTTTATAATGTGAGACCATTTAAAACAAATATCTAATGTTTTGGTGGTCAGAATTGAAGAAATGATATATTTTTTTTTAAGCTGGATTTCATCCTTCCTCTCTCTTTTTCTCTTTCTCTCTCTTCCTAAGAACTCAAAGATGATGAAAATGAAATTCAGTATTGAAATTCAATTGTTAATAATGGAAAGGACTGGTCACCTTATACCAAAAAAAATATGAGAGAAAAATATACTTTACAAATAAATTTGAATGCACAACCCATGTCACTCTTATTTTGCACTTTAGTCCTCTAACTTTCAATTTAATACTCAATCATAAAAAAATTCAATTAAGCTCTAATTTGAGCTTAATTGCGCTACAACAATGTTCGAGAATCAAACTGAAAATTGTTAAAAATCTTACTATTACAATCCAAAGTGAAATGTGAGAGGAAAAACAATAAAATATATATACAATAAAACAACCACATGTTTTATATTATACTAGTTAGGTGGCTTGTGATATTTTTTGGCATAAAAAATATATAAAAAAACTAAGATTCAAGAGCGTTAAATCTATCTACAAAACTAGTCCCAAGAGCCTTAAGTCTAGCTGTAATGTCTGACCCAAAAGTAATATTTATAATATTAATTATAATACCAATAGTAATATTTATAATATAAATAATAATATTTTTAATATTAATAATAATATTAAACTTGTCTAACCCAAGTTCTTATAGCTTTTTATCCCTTGAAATCAAATTTACAAATTTTCTTTTATAGTAATAATATTTTTTAAAAAATTTATTAATGATAATGATAATGATAACAATAATAATAACAATAAAAATAATAAGAATAATACTATTGATTATAAACTTGGTTTGGTGCCCCTAATGATTGACCTAAGTTTCTAGGGTCTAGTTTTTCTTATAATAATAATAATAAAAATATTTATAATATTAATAGTAACATTAAATTTATCTGACCCAAGTTCTTATAGTTTTTTATCCCTTGAAATCAAATTTATGATTTTTCTTTGATAGTAATAATATTTTTTTAAAATATTTATTAATGATAATGATAATAATAACAATAACAATAAGAATAATCAGAATGATACTAATAATTATAAATTTAGGTCTGGTGCTTCTAATGATTAACCTAAGTTTTTGGGGTCTGGTTCCCCTAATAATAATAAAAATAAAAATATTTATAATATTAGTAATAATATTAAATTTATCTGACCCAAGTTCTTATAGTTTTTTATCCATTCAAATCAAATTTATGGTTTTTATTCAATAGTAATAATATTTTTTTTAAAATTTAATAATAATAAAATAATTTAATATTAAGAATATGAATAAAACTTATAATTATAATAATAAAAACAATAACAACAACGACGACAACAACAACAATTTTTAATTTTACCCTTGAAACCAAATCTATGATTTTTTTAATAGTAATAATATATTTTTTCAAATTTATTAATAATATTAATAATAATGACAATAATAATATTAAACATGTTTGACCCAAGTTCTTATAGTTTTTAATTTGACCTTTCAAATCAAATCTATGGTTGTTTTCCAATATTAATAATGTTTTTTTTTCAAATTTATTAATTATTATATTAGCAATATTCACTATAATAAAAATAATAATATTTTTAATAAAAATAATAATATTTTTAATAAAAATAATAATATTTTTAATAAAAATAATAATATTTTTAATATTAATAATAATATTAAACTTACATAACCCAAGTTTAAGTGGGTATGATTGTAATGCTAGGCTTAAAAGTCTTGGATGTAAGTCTGACTGCAAGGCTGTGTCATGCAAGTGTGATAACTAAATAGAAAAAATTTTAATATTAAAGAATAAAATTAAACAAAAAAAATGATTAATTGAAAGGAAAAAACAAAGAAAAAAAAAGGCAAAGCATTGTTCTAATTAATATTGCTTTGCGACGAGGGGTATAGTAAAATTCCTCCATGAGATCACGATAGTCTAATGAAAAGTAATAAAAAAAATCATAAAGTTTAATTTTCAATTAAATCAATATTAAAAGATGAAATTGAAAAGAAAAAAACCAATTAAGAAAAACAAAAAAAATATGAATCAACTAAGTTAACTCGCCAAACTAAGTTAACTTGTCAAACTTAGGATCCATGTCATGAGAGTGTGATAACTAAATATAAATAGATTTAACATTAAAAAACTAAATTAAAAAATAATTAAAAAAACAAAATAAAAAGCCTATAACTAAAAGGCATCATCCTTTTACTGTGGATTGCACAGTGCAATCCATAAAAAAAGGTTGATCAGATTGAGATATAATTAATGTAATTATGTGTGATCAAGATAAGGAAAAATACTTGGGTGGTGGCATGGTGGACACGTGTAAGCAAAAAGCGATTGTGCTGCATATTAAAGCATTTCTACGAGAAACATAGCTTTATAAATGTTTAGGTCTAGGTTTTGGTTCAAGGAAAACTTTTATCCACCTCATTTGCAAATAAGTTTTCACACAACCAAACTCTTAGAGGTAGCTCAACTAGTCAGACTTTGAGTTTGCTTTTCAATAGTCATGAGTTCGAGTTTCCTCAAAGCCACTAAAAACTTACATAGTCGTTAACTTTAGGGTTCATGAGATTAGTTGAGGTGCAGCAAGTTAGCCCGAACATCCACGTTAATAATAAAAAAATTTCACATAGCCTATAAATAAAATAAAATAAAAACATTGTAAAGGGGTTTTTTTTTCACTTTTCAATTTTTTTACATGGTACAATGACTTAAATAACCCTTGTAATTAAACTTTGTTGGGTTTGCTTACAAGGGTGTTTTTGTCATTTCATTCTAGTTTTTTTTTTTTTGAAAATTTCCATGTTGGGTCTAGAGTAATTAGATCTTTTAAAATATAAAAAAATATAATTTAAATAAAAAGATGGTTGTGTGTGCCATGCAAGCACCAACAAATGAATGGTGCGTGCAGCATCATCAAGCCTTCCAACACCACGTACCCAGGCGGTGTTAGATGCATCTTATCACCCCTGTTATGGTGGTGCGGTGTGTGCTTATAGAAGGGTAGCAATTGAGCTCTGGTGATGTGTTTTCTTCCTCATTCTTTTCTCTCTCCCCTCTTCGACAAAAGTGTTGGGATTGCAAAAATTCAAAGAAGTTTGGTCATTTTTAATTAAATCAAATTAATTCTTTATTCTTTTTATTGCAATTTATTTGATTTTTATTTTTTTAATTTATTTTTTTTTAATTTCATCCATTGACATTGGATTTTTATATCAAGTTTGATCTTTATTCTTATTATTGTTATATGTTTTTTTTTCTTATCCTTTTCTTAATTCATTTTTTTTTCAATTTCATCCTTGATGATTTGATTTGATTTTGTTTTTATTTCAAATTTGATTCTCATTCTTTTTTATTCCTTTTTCTTTCTTTTTTATCCTATTTTGTTGATTTGTTTTTAAAAATTTATCCCTAATTATTTTGGTTGGTTGGGAATTTGACAAAACTATTTTTTTAGGTTTGCTTTTTATGGTTTAATATAGTCTCATGACACATATCATGACCTTAGAGGATAAGACCGAGTTGACTTTGGTCTTTTTAGGTCATTTTTAATTATTTTTTTAATTTTATCCATCAGCATTAGG